AGCTCTCTATGCTCGCAATAATTGCAAAATCAAATGCATTAACATTCCAATTCTGTCAACTGTATCGTGATCCTTTTTATTCAGGCTGGAAAAGAGACAAATAAACCCCAAAATTAGAACAATCAAAGTATCAAACAATTGACTCATGGATGGTTGATCTCGAATGTAGGTTCAGAAAGGGAGAAATTTGATAAATCGGTCGATCCGGAAAGTGACTCGTTTTGGCGAGATTATCTCGACACAGCTGCATACAAGGTTATACTTGGACTCGGCATTGTGAAGGGGGGATTTGATAACTATTGTTTTGAGGTTGGCGTACTTTGAGGATCACCAGTCCATATGTGAAGGGGAAGAGACAGCTAGTGTTTCTATTATGCAAGTTCTGTATTAGTTGAATCGAGGATATTCAGTGTTTTTGACCCGTTGTTGTGGATCGCTGATTTTGTTTATGAGGAGTTGTCATAACTTGTTATTTGGGATTTATTCATACAACAGTAAGTAAATACCAAAATATGCGTGTATGAATACATATGTATTCAATTACCCACATAATGCACTATTGAAATGTACATATTATTAGTATTATGTCACATAGCAATACAGTGTACATTGTAAAAGCCAATATTTAATTTGCTCCTGTTCGGCGCAATGAAGCTCACGTTGCTTTATTGAGACTCTATTTTCATTGAAAATTTGTTATGCGTTACAATCATTACATATCATGCTAAAAAGTGAAAGGGAATTCAAGTCTCTGTATGCCTTTCCGATGTCTGTTATATGTTAAGTTGTCCATCTGTGTGATTTGGGCCATTCCAAATCACATGGAGATGGTGCACATAGTGTGTGCATACGCTGAAAATGGGACCCTTCATCCTTGTAGTACCCAAAATCTTTTTTTTTTTTTTTTTTTTACTTTAGATAGCTTTAGATATTATCCGTGGAGCGCCAGTGTGTTAACTCATAAGTAGTGTTAACTCATAAACGCATGTAGAGTTAAAACATCCCAGTGGCAGATAAAATGTGAGGCTATCTGTCATTAATCACTTTCAGGAATATTTGAGTAGTCTGACAGCTCAAGAGGCTATTTTGTTGAGCCCTTAAAAAGGTTTTCAAGACGGTCTGTGAGACTGATATGTCAAGACCAAAATTTCCAGACCAAAATGTGGGTCTTACAAGTTTTCAGTCTTGTGGGGTTGTCAGTCTTATAAACCTTCTGATAACTTTGAAGGAGGTTATAGCCCTAAGAATTCAAGCTTGCCAGAGTTATGATCTTCCCTGCATGTGCTTTTTGTAATCCCTTTTCAAGCACTGCATGTTATCCATATGCATTCATGCACTGCTTGCTTTCATTCTTTATATCGTAATGTGTAGTGTATACCCCCCCCCCCCATACCCTTTTTCCTCCTCTGCATAATTGCACTCTTCTTTCTTTCCCCCTTCTTTCTTTCCCCCTTCTTTTTAAAATAGTGAGAGCAGTCGGACGAGCTATGGAGGGGAAGGGGGTAAAGGAGTGGAGATCCCCTTCTCCCCTTCCCTATTGAAAGGGAGGGGGTAATATTAATGCTGAAATATAATGTTTCAGGACAGATCTGAGTTACATGTACATCACTTACATGTACATTTAAATTTCTGTGTGCTTCTAGGGATAATGTTATTGATGTCTGTAGTTTAGACACACACACGAGAATATATTTACACTAAAAGGAAAACCGAGGACCATTCAATGTGTAAGAAACATATGAATGTAAGTGGTTATTTTATCATGGAATTTTTATGAAAATTATTGATTGTATTCAATACAAAGAAATATGGATTGGATAAGGAAACTTCATTTTGTAGGAGTTGGACCAAAGCAACTACTAGACTGCTCTCACTAGTATTTTTTCTTTTCTATTTTCAGTTTGGATCATGATACTAGTGTTTCCCCCTTTCAATCCTTGCCTCCTACCATTTTAAGAAATACACACAATATTCATGCCTTCTCTTCATGATCTCTTTTCTCTTCCAGCAAAGTTATTATATAAATTTTTAAAAAAAAACATGCAGTGAAGCTTGTATGTCATATGTGATTTAATTTTCAGTTTGTTTTTCCAGTTGTACACACACCTTGTTCGATGCAAAGTCCACATCACATGTACATTTATAATCATATATATATATATATCACCATTTTTGGTAGCATATATTTATATATATATATATATATGCTACCAAAAATGGTGATTTATATAGTTTGACTTTGACGCATTGTTTGGTGGTAATACTAGTGCTTAGACCCTAGTAAATATAAATTAACGAGCTGTGTTTTGGGCTAGAAACAGCATTTTTAATTTACTTCTGTTTTATATACATGTAGTGTGCTTTTTCATTTAAAGTTGTAACAAAATATGATTTTAGATTATGTCATTTTGATATATCAGTACATAACTTGTAATCATTCTTTGCAGTAACAATACAGTTCACTGACATTATTGTTTTCATTTTAGCCATTTAATTTTGATTTCGTTCCCTGTGTATACATGTAAAACATTGCTTCACCAGTATGAAAAAGAACTTAAACTTGGTGTAAATGTATATTTGTATGAAGCCATGTTTTGCACCATGCATCCATTCAAATAGATCCTTTTTGTGCATCAGAACACATCAAGTTATCAAAATATTTATGTGTGGTTTAGTTTCTATACAGTACGCTATGTGCTTCAAAACGTAGTCCTTACAACAAAGCGTTGATGTAATGTGTATCAGTGTTTTACATGCTAAAGTATTTTGCAGGCCACTTTTACATTGCAGAGTCATTTGTTATTGAATGGATCAAAAATAGATGCAAAGCACACTTTTTAATGCTTTCATGGAATAATTGTAAAATGTTTCCATTTGGTATCCTATACCCAATTATAATATTGCCGTCATTAGTAGTATGCATAAATACTGTACATTTATGGTTATATTCAATTTTCGATGTTCTGCATGATAATGATTTGACACTGCACAAATATATCTGGAATAGAAAAACGGTTATAGCAGATGTTAATACATGACACATGAATTAGTTTTTAGAAGTGGATTATTAGGGATCTTTTTTTGTGCTCACTGTACCTTGCTAACTTAGAAAACCCCTATAAATAGACCAGTTCACAAATGTATTTAAATATCATGCATACATATCTGAACTGGGGGGGGGGGGTATTTCACAAAGATCCTAAGTTGAACTTATCTCTAAGTTGGACTTAACTCTTATGGAGAGCCATTTGTAGCCTTAAAATAAAATATATTCAAAAGTGAAAAATCAATTATTTTAGACATTTCATAAATTCCACGTCAAGAACATGAAATCTCCTTGATAATAGACAATATGAATAATTTGAATCAACATTTTACGCCTTTTAAAATAACTTTTACAAAATATTTTCAAGGATGCTAATGGCTTTCCATAATTTGTAAGACACACTTAGAGTTAAGTTCGACTTAGGATCTTTGTGAAACACCCCCCCCCCCCCCCAGCTCGCAAATGTATTTAAATATCATGCATACATATCTGAACTGGTCTATCGCAAAGAACTGCTTGATAGACTATTGGGGATATGACAGGCACATGAAGAAAATGTGATAGTGATGGGGCAACTAAATTTGGACGGGTCTCTGAGTGACTAAGCCATGTTTATAAGGCCACATCCTGTGCGCTTCTGTACTAGGCTCTACTGAGTTTGTGACACACCATCGACGACGTCCATAGAGTTTTATTCGGCTAGACAACGCATGAAAGCCTGTTTTGGGTTTTTAAGACGTGTCAGTGTTCTAGGGAGAAGTTTAGGTTGTGTCCTGTAAAATGTCAAATATCGTGCATCAGCCTGTACATGTATTTTCATAGTTCTCCTTAAAGATGAAGTTGAGTTCTGGTCATGCGATTGCATTGTGAAAGAAACGGTGTGGAACCGACCAGAAAAGGTTGATCATCTAGCATATAAGAATTTGTGTGTATTGCAAGGTTCTGGAATCATCAAAATGATAAGAAATTTGGCCAAGTCTTAGTAAAGTTACAAACACTTGCACAGAAAGATGTATATAGGACTACACGAACACGTGGCGTAAAAAGCCGCCCCCCCCCCCCCCCCCGATTTTTACGATGTTACATGCATATTTAGAATATGAAGGCATTTGAAGAGCCATGCTTTTCAGGGAACATGTCTTAACTGATGTTCTTCCACACTTGCATGATAAGAATGAGTAATGCTCACAAATTATTTTTCACCTCTTCCCAGAACTCAACCTTCTCTTTAAAAGTATACCCCTTGCAAGAGCAAGAAAAGCGATATTTTACAGTGTGGTGAGGGAGCTATTGTTCATTTCCCCTACCCTGTCTTATCTGATTCAAAATCAAAGTCAAATCTAAAAGATTATAGTTTCTAGTTTTGTATTATTTTCCAAATCTCATCATAGAACAAAAATAATTAAGTTTAAGTTTAATTCTTCATCATGTATTATTTTTTTGGTAAACATGTGATATAGCTGTACTACATGTATGTAGGGCATTAGAAGTGCTAGTTATTACTATAATTATTATCATTAGTTATTTTCTCATTAGAAATGATTACCGGTATATAATTTGATAGAGATGCATGAATCATTTTCTCATATTTCTCTCATTTCAAAATATAGTTACTTTACTTTGGATTTGTTATATTAAAAAAAAGAAAAACAGTGTCTGCAATTTTCCTATGATGTGTGCCTATCCATGATGAAACGGAAAGCAGAGCTTTAAGTTGGGAATTGTTTGCCAATTTTGATTAATTTCATCTTCATATTATTCATTATTATGCCTATTCATATTTTTCTTGTACCTGTAAGTGAATGAAGGGTCATATTAAGTTCAAAATGGAGTTCAATTTTGCAGAGTTACACCATATGTCAATCTCATCAATTATACCAATAAATCAATCAAGTTACATTGGTTTCCTCGTGCTAACCTCAACATCCTACCCCTTCCTTTTCCATGACAACAGCTCGATAACCATGGCAACCACGTTGTAGCCAGCGAAGAGTCGGCGATCAACATTCCAGCCGTGGCGGCAGCACACGTAATCAAGAGGTACGCCGCGCAGGCACCCGACGAGATCTCGTTAGAGGTAAGCACCGGATGGTAGAATGACTAAGACGACCACACAAATGATCGTATCGCTTACAAAAATACTGCACCTAAATGTCACTAGATTTCCTTGCATTAAAACGCTGTTACCTTTTAACTTTCTCATGATGATATGTGTGGATTTAAGGTTGTGCGTGTTCAAGCAAATTTAAATTGTGTTAGATCAAGGTGTGGAAATTAAAGGAACACTGCTGCATAGATAAGGCATGTAGGACATTTTTCCCACTTTTCTTCACGTTTAAAGACATTTTGTAATGACAACGACAACCATTTAAATGATCATACAGCTTACCAAAATTCTGCACACATTTTCACTATCTTTCTTTATATAAAATCGTTGATATCTTGTACCTTTTTTATATTGATGTGTGTGGGTTTAAGGTTGTGTGTGTTAAAAAAAAAGTTTTGAAAAAAAATTGTTTGATCACTTCTGCATCGATGGGGCATTGAGAACACCGCCCCCTCCCCCCCCCCCCCCCTCCCCCAATATTAGTAGTTGTTCATAAGTGCAGTGGTGTTCTTACATTTTTCGAAGTTACATCGTAACTCTAATGAGTGTGTATTTTACCCACACACACACCTACATGTAGGTGAGAGAAGAATATATACTGGTTCTACCGTAATTATAATTAGGTGCAGTATTTAGATATTAGACGATACAATCATTTGTGTGGTAGCCCTCGTCATTCCAAAATAGCCTTTGAACCTTCCTTTAAAAAATTGAAGCCAAGATTTTCTTCCAAAGCAGTAAGTTCTGGCAATTTCAAAACTTCTCTAAAACAACTTTTAAAGGGAGGCTTCACTACTTCAGCTAGAAGGGATTAGACCACACAGCGAGCCAGCGAGGTCACTGTGACAGGTGGCTATCTCATTAACTCAGCTCTCATTCAACATAAGAAAAAGAGGATCATGGGGGACCAACAGGCACCGATTTGGGAAGTTTTCTATATAGAGGGAGCAAATAGCTACAAGTAGGACAGTGGGCCTTTAACAAAAATGATACAGAAACTGTATCAATTAAATATAATTTTTTTTAAATAATAATGACTTGAAGAAAAGAAGAGGTTTCAAGGGCAGGTGTTGAAGAATCGGCATACCCAGGTTACCATGGCAACACAATGTATCTTGGCTTTCATTAATGTATTGAATGTGCCACACTCCTACACGATTATTAGTCACTCCGGAGAGCGTGAAGGATTCGGCATTGAATATCGGCTCCTTTGCCTCAGCCAGTCACGTCAACCTAGAATGTACACGTAGCTAGCTTTCTCTTTCGAATATCGCATTGCAAGTGGCCATAGAGACTACATTTTTGACTGAATTTCTGCCTGAATTTCTGCTCGCTTTGAGCGCAAGCTTTGGATCTCTACACTGGATTATAGAAAGAGAATACAGAGAACATTTGTTACTATAATTCCTTGTGGACTCTTGTGCATGGGATTTTTAATGCTGTAAGTAGACAAAGTTAGTATTCGCTTTCTTCAAAATTTTGACAAGAAATATTGCTGAGCTCTAGAATTAAATAGAAATTCATCAAATATTTACTCTTGGAAGTTTGATTTTGAATGTGAGAGGGCTAATGTAAGTGTTATTTAAAATAATAATGATAATAATTAGATTAATTGTAGTGCAGCCGATATATATAACATCAATTTTAACTTGTCAAGAAAACAAAGTACTGCATATTAACATCATTTGATATTTTGCTCTGTCTCTTTTTCTTTTTCTCTCTTTTTCTTTTTCTCTCTTTTTCTTTTTCTCTCTCTTTCTTTTTCTCTCTTTCTTTTTCTCTCTCCTTCCTCCTTAGTCCTCCCTCCCTTTAAGTTTAAGGTTTCCTTTTCTCTCCCCCCCCCCTTTTTTTTATATTCAACTCCTTCTGTCTCTGTTACTGTGTCTGTATAAATCTCCTTTCTGTTGATCTACCAATTGCGGTTGAAGAATAAATTGCAGTTGTGGTTTCATTATATTAGCATTGTAATCATTCATGACGTATATGCACTTTGGTCTCTGTATGCACGAATTAAAGTGCACCCATATTGTATTCTTTATACTGGCAGTATGAGTAATACAACAGTTCATGACTAATGAAGTGTAATTCTTTCATGTGAATCATTGCGTCTGGTTCGTGGCAGGGGCAACACCTTGATACACTTGAACAGAATAGATTAAAAAACAAAAACACCCAAATGTATTACATACCACAGTTTAGTTTAACTCTGCAAGGGAGCACATCTTATTAGTAGTGCTGTGGATTATAGACATTTTTTCAAGCAAATATGGTAGGAATATCGAATTTGGTTGAGGTAAAAAAAAGAATAGTATTTACCGTAACCATTTTTAAACTACTTTTTACTTGTGAAATCAGGTGAAGGTATAGAAAGTAAGAAAGAGGCTTTAACAAATTATTGTTTTCATCTATTTTTGTGATATTTCAATAATATCAGTATTCTAGTTTTTACCGGTAAAAAGTGCTTCAGTCCTTTTTTTTTAGTCTACAAGCAAATGAAATGTTGTTTTAAATGATTGTCTGTTAGAAAAATGCCTTGATTGACAACCGCAACAAAATTTTGAGGTAATAGAGATCTTCTCTTCATACTAGAAATTTAATGAAAGCTGAAACGAATCAAAGTTATTCTCAACGTTTTTTTGACATTTCATTTTACGTTTCATTTTATGTTTCTTCATCAGGTGCAACAAGTTCAGTTGATAGTGCTCTTCATACTGAAACAAATCACAGTTAATCATTTTTTACATTTCGTTTCACGTTTCTTTTCTAGGTGGGAGACATGATCTCGGTGATCGACATGCCTCCTCCAGAGGACACGTCGTGGTGGCGCGGCAAGAATAAGTTTGACGTGGGCTTCTTCCCTCGCCAGTGCGTTGAGATCATCAGTGAGAAACTACCCCTGGCAGTCGCAGAGAGGGTACCGAAAGGGCCCAAACCTGGTAAATATTCTTTATTCTAACTTCACTCGTATCTCTAGTATTTCTAGGTGTTTTTTTTAATACATTTAATGTGTGGTAGTGGCAACGACAGTGTTAAAAGGTCCAAAACATGAGGAAATTTCTCTCTCTTAACTCTTATCAGGTACTTTTTGATTTGCAAGTTCACTAGTGGACTGCTACATATACGGTCATTTTTTAAGCAGGGTTGACGAGGCACGCTGACTGTCGTTTGTTACCTTTTCAATTTCACATGACGACGACTAGTGATTTCGCAAATCGAAAAGTCCCTATTGTATCTATCTACAGTATGTCTAGGGCTTGGGATAAATAAAACCTGTGGTAGTAGCAGAAAGAGTACCGAAGGGGCCCAAATGTGGAAATTTTTCTTTATCCTAACTCACTGTATTCATGTCTAGGGCTTAACAATGATTACGGAAGTATGGAATGTTGTCTAAAAGTATGGATTACACGACCACCAACAACAAAAATTAAAAACTGAGCAGCCTCAACTTGGTGCAGTATAGGCCATCCAACACTCGCTGAAAAGACAGAAAAGTATCAAGTATTCTCTTAATAGAAGCCAATTTTCATGGAAAACTGATGTGTTGTGATGACTTGAAAATCAAAATTTAGCAGATTTGGGTGAGAAAAATAACAGACACAAAAAGGCTAGGTATTAGTTTTGAAACATTTTTTTTCCTCAGCGTCCACGCAGTGTTTTAGTGCCGTTATTTAGATTTATAGCGCCGCATAGGAAATTACTGATTTATTCCCCAAAGTACTGATTTTGAGCCTTGTGATTACTGATTTTCTGTTCTGGAGGTTGGCAGCTCTGCAACATGACAGTGGCAGACAGGGTATCAAAGGGTCCCAAACCTGGTAAATATTCACGTCTGAAAGTGTAACAATAACCAAGATATATTTTGTTTTGTATGTTAGTAGTTCCATACCTAACATATTCAGGGTATGATATTTACATTTTATTATCTGTTTAGAGATTTGTTCTGTTTTTGTTTTGTTTGTATTAGTTCCATACCTTAATACTATATTCAGAGTTGGAGTTCAATTACTACTTCTGTGTGAAGGTTTAACAAGTTGAAACACTCTATATAGAGTCTTTGGTCAATTTGATAGGTGGTTGAGTGTGTGATTTAGATCAGTAACAATAAAGGAATGTGCTATAAGGAAAATTCTGGGTTGATCCTAAGGTAACAACCCTCAACATTTGTGTGTCAGTGATATGTTTAATGTTCACTAAGATTTTCATTTTGATCAGAATTTTATACTAACACTTTTTTATGATGTTTCAATTGAACTTTAAGTGAGTGTGGTTTGGTAAAGTTTAATTTATTAATATTTGTGTTGAAAGTCATTATTCTTAGATTGGTGTCAGTGAAGTGTGTTTGTTGTTGTTGTTTTTATATCAGGCCCTCTACATTTTAGATTAGGAAATTTGATTTTATATATCTTGTTTTTTAGATGGTTTGTATGATATTTGAAAGTTTTGATGGTTTTGATACCTCATTACATCCATGGAAACCACAGCAGTAAACCTGCTATGGTTTTTTCAAAGTGTAAATGAATGGCAACCGCGTGCAACGAAGGACTTGCGCTTATTAACAGATCTCTTTGTTATAAGATAGAGATGTGAAACGAATACACTTCATGTCATCATTATAAATATGCCATGGTTTTGCTGCATCATATCTGAGCGAACCCTAAACCAGGATAATACACCGTGGTATATGTGATTGACATTTAATTGAAATTCCTCCTTCAGTACCTCAACCTCAGCGTTGTTTCTCATCTTTTTTTCACCATAAACTTTCAAGCAGTCATGTTAAATTATGACAAACATTACATTTGGCCCGTTATTTTGCCTGTAAATCATCTATGCACATTCACAATCTGCTCAAATTTTGAAAATAGAAACATGCTTTGTATATATTTTATTTAATACTTTTTATTTTGAGGAGATTTCACCTTTCATTTAGGAAATTGAATACTCACTCGCTCAGATCTTTTTGTTGATGCCATTGCAACATAACTTGCATGAAAATTCAATTGCTCCTGAGAAAACATTACATTTTGTTCTTTCCAAGATATCATTTTATTATGAGGGGAATAATTGATTTGATATTTAAAGCTATATATTTTTGGACCAACATTGGATTAGTGTTTTATCAACAGAGAAATCAGATTTTCATTCAGACTATCTTATTAATACACTGGTTCCAAGTAATCATTATTTAGAAGTACGTATACTGCAAGCTTCACAGAGATATAGATCTCTCATAAATGTGCACCTCTTTAGTTTCATTAACATCAAATGTACCAAAGTTGATTATTTTCTAGATCAGTTTCTGCTTTTATTAACAATGAACTCTTGTATATTATACCACTTGTTTCTCCCTTGCTTAGTATTATGAGATTATGTTTCACCAAAACCTTTGTTATGGCGTTCTCTTAAATGTTCAGCTTTGTGTTCATCTTTTAGAAATAACCATATTTATGTTCTCCCCCTCTCACTCTACCTGACATTAGGGGGGTGTTTCACAAAACTTGTCATCAGTGACAAATGATAGTTTTTGTTATAAGCTACTAAAATCATTGCTTCTGATTGGTTATCAGCACATTTGTCACTGATTTTTGTCATTTGCAGTTGAAAAAAGGCTTTGTGAAACACCACCAAGCCAAGGTTTAATTAAATTGTGTTTTGTTAATAGAAATGATGTCAGTAGAGATGTTAGCATTAACCATCGTTTCTCTCCATTCTCTCTCTCTCTCTCTCTCTCCCTACCTGACATTTAATTTAATCGTGTTCTATAAATAGAAGTGATGTCATTGGAAGCGTCCGGTACTTGGTCACAAACAGGGGGCACCAACACACAAACCACTAGTAATTAATTCCCGCTTTTCACCTCTTGTTTAATCTAATGCTTGAGTTTTTGTTGTGACTACATTTATTCTTTGCTGTTCATTGCCTGCAATATTTAATAATCCATATGCTTTTTTTCTGTTTGCATGAAAGTTTTTAAGCTCTATATACATACATGTACATATGCAAGTGTAAGGTATTATGGCCTATCATTTGAAGGAACATGTTCCAAAATTGTCTAAGCTTCTGTTGTTTGGCAGGGGATATATTTGATATAAGTATTATATGATTGCATATAAACCCCTACAAAAAATGGACACTCAAGTTTGATCATTACCTCTCTCTTGTCATTGTAAAATAATTGCTATATTTAGTATCATTAGAATGTTTGTTTATTCCTCTTTAAAATGATATCGTATTTGTTATGATATTGCAGCCATGAAATGAGCATTACATTAGAATACGGGGTAGGGTCAAAAGTGAAAAGTTGCAAAATGCACTGGTAAGCACTGGTAAAGTTGTGCAGTGCACTACACAGCAGCCTTGCACTCTTCAAAGAAAGAAGAATGCACAGCCAAACAAGAACAGTGCATTTGCAACTTTTCACTTTTCACTTTGCCCCTTTGTTTTGAGGTAATGCAAATTCTATGACTCAAAGGTCATAACAAAAGGGGTATCATTTTAAAGAAAAATAAACACACTTTCTAATGATACTAAATATAGTGATAATTATGCCTTAACGAAAGAGATAGAATCGATCGAACTTGAGTTTCCAAACTTGTTTTGAGGGGGGTATTTTACTCTGCTTCATCTATGTCTGCTGCAATATTCGACAAATCTTTTGCTGGTAAATTTAGTTCTTCAGTCTCCTACATTCTTTCAAGATTCAATTATTTTTTGTGATGCAAAAATGGAACATACGATTACATTTTTGCATCCGTCATCCTTCTCTTTATCAATGTTTTAATTTTACTCTTATTTTTTTAAAGTAAAATTAAATAGAGAAGTTACAATCAAATTAAGTAACTTCCAACATACAAGAAACTTACAAAATTAGAGCTGTAAAGTTGGTTGCATGAAAATATTGGAAACGAGGCATGAAGTAATGCATTTATGTTGCTTACTCCTGCATGTGTTTGATGTGCATATAACCATATTTGCATAATGATTTGCATAATAATTAATTAGCATTGATTATCTAACTACATACAATTCTCACACAGTCATAACACCAAATTCTAAAAAGGCGAAATTGCAGTGTGGTTACATTCAACATCATTTGCTGGGCTACCAAAGACTTGAAGTCTATGCAGGGCTAATTCTATAATAAACAAAAAACTAAAAAATAGTCTATGCAAGGCTAATTCTATAACAAACAAAAAAACTAAAAAATTGCTGCTGCTTTAATTTGCGTCAAATATCTAAAGTTTAACCCAACCCACATTTTGTTTCTTACCCCTGCTCCTCTCCTCCTTCTAGTTGCCCCCTGATGAAAGCCAAAAAACACAAGATTTAAACAAAGAGTATCACAAATTGCTGTCAAGAATAATTAGTTCAAGATACAATGTGAAAGTGTTGTTTATGTTATTAATTTCAGGAAGCATTGATAATTGTGTTTTGCATATATTTTTATTGGAATTTCTCTGTGATATTGCATTCTTTTTAGGCTGCAGCTTGCAAGTGTGACCTGTGATTTGTGAAATTTTCCAGCAGTTTTTCATGGAAATATTTGTGTATATTTGTGTGACATTGTTTAAAAGTTTTGTATTCAAGTGTAAAATATGCATTGGTATTAGATACTGCAATAAAAAAATTGGTGTTTGAAGTCTTATTTCCTTTTTCCTTTTCTCATATATTTTGAACAGCAATCTTTTTGTTGTAATCTATCATTTATAATACTCAATTGCTGTCAATTTTCTCTAATTATTCTTTTCCAGATACTATGTTGCATGCTTTTTCGTTATATATGCTTTTTCGTTATATACTACTACAATTACTACTTCTACTTCTGTGCAAAAAATTATGTTTTTTGTAAAGATCTTTTGTTTGTTCCTTCTTACTGTTCATCAGATATGGACTTGTCAGTGAATTACTTGTATACAATGTCAGAATTTTCTGGATCAACTTGATATATTTAGATACTCAACAATAAGTGGAATACTTTTTTTAGACTCTGTATCTTGGTTTGCTCGCAGATTAAAGCATGCTTTCCTCATTCTAGTCATGTCTGGGATTTCTTTACTATATATTGTATTGTGTAGTGCATATCATCATTTGTTTAATTTTTCTGTCATTTTCATTAACTCTGAAAGTAACATTCATATACATCTAATACATGCATTAGGATTTGGGTGTATAAGTGACATCTAATATTTAGACTTATTTAATATAGGATATAGGATAATAATTTCAAAGGGAAACATAACAGGCGGTCTTTATAGACAGGTTGTGTTTATAGACAGATGGTCACTAAAGCAGGTTGTCATATCGTGGGGGCCACTTTCTCCAAACAGTCATACACTGTAAGTCTACCTTCTTAGACATCCCTTTGAAACGTGTGTTATAGAATTAACACACTATGGGATGTCCAAGAACTTATGCCTCAGTCGCACCTTTGTGTATTTGGCTTGCCGTTTTAACATTTATTCCTATTTCGTGATATCAAGAAATGATGTTCTGTTGTAAAGCAATGGTAATTCTTGATATCAAGAATACAAAAGGAATAAATGTTAAAACGGCTTGCCATAAATACGCAGCAATACGCAAGCCAAATATGCAAAGGTGTGCCTGATGCATTGGTTTCGAGAAACTGGCCCCAGCATGCTTTGTTAATACAGTACCGAAGCTGTAACGTCATAAAAAGTCTATTTTTAGAATTTCTCAATTTTTTTTTCATTTTACGAAAGAGCATAAAAAATTGTGTCTAAATGTCGAAAACCAAATTAATATGTTGAGTAATGGCCGATGCTCTTTCGGAAAATGAAGACAAAATTGAGAAATTCTAAAAATAGATTTTTGATGATGTCACACTTCACCACTCTATGAAATGGGTAAGCTCGTCATTCATTCGTTCATTCCTTCCTTCTCTCTATCCAGTGTTGAGGAAGCATGGCAAGCTCATTACATTCCTTCGTTCATTCATCCTTGAGAGACCGACGAGGAGGAGATTAAAGCAAAGCGGCATCCTGAAGGAGAGGGTGTTTGGATGCGATCTAGGGGAGCATCTTCTCAACACAGGCACTGATGGTAAGTTTATAGCTGCCTGTAAGCTTCTCAAGTTTATATACATGTGTATCACTCTCCCCCTCCCATCACCCCCTTTTTTTTTTCTCTCTCTCTCTCTCTAACTCTCTCTCTCTATCTCTATCATTCTTGTAAAAGGAGATTATTTATCTTCTAAACACAGGCACTGACGGTAAGTTAATAGCTGCCTCACAAGATTTAGAAGCTTTTGTTGTGTTTATGACAAGTTATGTGGGTGTGTGTGTTTGTCTATCTTTCAAAAAGTGAGAGTTTTTTAATGTGATATATGGGAGAACAACTTTGCCTGATTGTCACACAGGAACTAATTGAAAAATCTCTTCTCTGTTTATCTCTTTATCTAACCTTCCCCACCCGAACGTCTCCATCTTTCTCGTGTGTGTGTGTGTGTGTGTGTGTCTGTGTGTTTTGTCTTTCTTGGGGTGGAGGAAATACAGGTTCATGTATAATTTTTAGGGAAGATTGAGGGAAGAAGAAGTAGAAGAACACAAAGATATTACTAACTTACTAGACAGTGTAATTGGATGCAGACTTACAGAGCTGCAAGGAAAATGAAACAATATTAGAATGTTGAAAATGTGGTTTTTGTCAATGCTTGTCTAGCTAGCTAGAATAATTTGTTTCATTGTATGTCCTACACCTACTCTATGTGTACCTGCACATGTATGTTACTCTGAAATGATATATTATCCCTCATCCATCTCCCCAATCACAGTTCCCTCTGTGGTCCAAGACTGCTGTCACTTCATCGAGCAGTATGGTATCGTTGACGGCATCTACCGGTTGTCGGGCGTGGCCTCCAACGTCCAGTACCTTAGGGACCAGTTTGACAGTGAGACCACACCCAACCTCGACGAGTATAAGAAGGATATCCACTGTATGTCGTCTGTTTGTAAGCTGTACTTCAGGGAGTTGCCCAATCCTCTGCTCACCTACCAGCTCTATAAGAAATTTGAGGTAATTAGGGGAAATCCCTATGAGGGGGGGGGGGGGGGGGAGATGGGCAGTTATATTTATGTTATTGATAAACTCAAGAGAAAATACACACTGAGTCATGTTTAAGTTTGAGCCTTAAGTATGTGTTATTATGCCTCCATGGTATAAGGCATCATAATACGCGTAAAGCAGGTTTAGCTCTATGATAGAAGAAAAAGGAGCAGAGTGTAAAATTATTTGTACCTGTATAACTGTCAATCAATTCAAAACTTATCTTAAGACACGTTTATCCAAAATTGCTTTTTATGATTAACTTACTCTGTTCACATCGTATATTTCATTTGTATTGTAATTTGTAGGTTTATTTCTAATTTTTTCTTTTGTTCAATATGTAATTGTTTATCGTTGTATTTTGTTTGTTATAGTGCTTAGAGACTTCGGTGGTAAGCGCTTTATAAACACAGTTTTTTTTAATTTTTATTATGTGAAGTCCTACATTCTCACTTTATTTTCTATTTACAGGAGGCTGCTATGTCAGGTGAGGAGAATCGTTTGATGAAGATGCACGACACGGTCCAGCAGCTACCACCGCCACACTACCGCACCTTGCAGTTCCTCATCCGCCATCTCTCATACATGTCATCGTTCAAGAGTGAGACCAGTATGAACATCAAGAACCTTGCCATCGTGTGGGCACCAAACTTACTCAGGTAATGGTGGTTAAGATAATAATAATAATAATAATAATATCTTGCTGTTATATAGCTCCCAATACATCGATACAACGATGTGTCTAAGCGCTTTACAGATATATATATATATTATATAATGGTTGAGATTGGTGATGATGACTTGTCATCATGATGATAATGAAAATGAAGCGATGAGGAGGAGGAGGAGGAGGAAAAGGAGGAGGAGGAGGAGGAGGAGGAGGAGGAGGAGGAGGAGGAGGAGGAGGAGGAGGAGGAGGAGGAGAGGAGAGAGAGAGAGAGAGAGAGAGAGAGAGAGAGAGAGAGAGAGAGAGAGGGGGGGGAGGGAGAGGAGAATGGTGAATAGGATTAGATTTAGAGATTACTCTTATGATGAAGATAAAGATGATGATGATGATGATGTTGGTTCAAGAGTGAGGCCGGTATGAACATCAAGAACCTTGCCATCATATGGGCACCAAACTTGCTCAGATAATGGTGGTTAAGATAATGGTTGTTGATGATGATGATGATGATGAAGCAGAGATGAGGAAGAGGAGGATTATGATTTTGATTGGGATGGAGAAGAAAATGGTGAATAGGATTAGAATGGTAGATTACTCATGATGAAGATGATGATGATGGATTGGTTTAGTAGTGATACTAAGAACCTTGCCATCGTAAGGGTTTTAAACAAGACTCTGGTAATATATTTTTTCTTAACCCAAGCTCCCACCCTCTGCCTCAGCCCCCCCCCCCCCCCACTGCCACTCGCTGCCCCACCCCATCAGGCTTGACTGTACTCGATATGTAAATTCATGTAGAAGAATTTCTCTATTTTTCTTTCTTTCCCAGGTCAAAGGACATTGAGACTGGTTCGTGTGCAGCTTTCATGGAAATCAAAGTCCAGGCGACCGTCGTAGAATACCTTGTCAAGCATTGTGATCTTATCTTCAATGATAAGCTCTTCCCAGATGTCCCAGGTAAGAACAACAGATTAAATTATTAAAAAACATATTCATATGGACACTTGGCATTCCATACTTAGTCAGTTGATTAAAGTTAAACCATGGACTAAAGTTAGTCTGCTTTCGAGAATACTACCCAATATCATTACGATTATTTGCCTTTTCCTACCAGGTGTCAGCCATGAGATGGCACGCCCCAAATCCCTGGTGCTGTCCACCCCTACCAAGCTGCTCTCCTTGGAAGAGGCCAGGGCGAGATCATCATCCCAGGGAAACGACAGCGCAGACAAGGATGACAAACCAAAGTTCATAGAGGTCGGAGGAGGGCCAGCCGCTCTACCCAAGCAGTATCATACTGTCATAGATCTCCCACCGGAGAGGTAAGGGGAATTCCCTCATCGTCTACCAGTCGATTGATCATAATCCCTTTCAAGAAAATTTAGCGCATATTTTGTGGATAACCACAATAACTTTGCACTCAAAGTCCTAAAAATACATCAGATGGAAAAGTAAAAGGGAACAAGTTTTGCTCAATCTATCTCCATTTTGCAGAACTATAGTTTTGCACTGGATGCCAGTAATTTTTTTAACGGAATACAATCCTTGAATTGGCAATTTATTTGACCAGGATTGCATACTGCTATGGGTATGAGCAGTTATCTAAATGATGTTTGTAATGGATCAAGGGGGCGTTATTTTGTTGCCTTTCTGGCTTGAACAGACAATATAAAGTGTATACATCTTTCCAAAGAGTATCCTTTGACTTCTCGACACAGGCGAGGTAAATTTGTACCTGGCAGGAATTAATTCCTTGACATGCTGGAGCGCTGTAATGGCAGCTAGGCTAAAGCTGGGGTAATAATAAATGCGCCTCGGAATAGAATTTCTAGATAGACGGCGCTATAGAAATGCCTATAATTGTTATTATTGCTATTCTCTTTCTCCTGCCTTAGTCGCAAGCGATTCTCTGCTTCAAAAGCCAAGAAGTCCCCCGGATGGAAGGCATTCTTCTCAAAATCGACCGGTAAGGAGGTCAAACACAAGATGTCACATGACCCAGCTTCGTTACGGGTACCTCCCTCCAAGCACTTTGGTTCCAGGGCACACCGAACGAGCCTCCGATCCGTCAAAAGTGCGGAATCTCTCTCGTCCGCAGAGTCAGCATCAGAGCTGCAAGGCCAGGAGAAGTACGGCAATATTCTTGGTAAGCTTTTTTTTTATTAGCTAAAAAAGTATATATTTTCACGACACAATATCTTTCTACACCATTAGTAATTCAGTTTTTGTTACTTAAGATTTTTTATGAAAAATGTACTTGAATACTACAGAAACATTTTCAACAACAACAATTAATTTAAACTTTTGGTTTAGAGAATGTTACAGATAACAAAAAGGACAAGACAGAAAAAAAAAGTAGAAATGGAAATTTTAGTATAGTATACCTTCTGTTTCTTTTTCCTTTAATGCCAAGCTTGTGCAATTCCATTTTACAATCTATCTTTTACAATTGCACTGTCTTTGTTTTTCTGTGAATACAGATCCCCGATTTAAGGGTCACATGCGCCGCAGTTCAGTTGCCTGCATGGAGAACAACCTGAGGAGATCATCCTCGGACTCTTTCTTTGAGGTAGATGCGGACATCGTTGCCGCGGCAACCAGGGAGATGCTTGCAGAGAGGAGAGGCGAGAACCCCTACTCTGGTGACGAGATCTTTATCGAGGAGGAGAGTGGTGCGACGTGTCAGCTGGGACGCCGGCGCGGAAGCGGCACGAACAGCCCCTTGTGGATTGACCAGAGCTTGAGCAGCATGGAATCCGATCAGGCATCACTGAGGTCGCCCTACGGACACCAACCTTCAATGCAGATCGGCAGGAAGATGAGTGCCGAGAACAACTGGCAAGTCGGAAATGATGATATCCACATGGCTTGCGATGTAAACGTGCATCATTATCATGAGGAGACTCCCCCGCCCTCTCCAACTGAAGCGTCCTCGCCTGAGAGGTATCAGTGCACCATCGCAGAACCTGTTGCCGTTCCGCAGCGTCACCCGCTGAAGACATCCATCGCTATGCCGGTGGCAGCGGCGTTTACGCCAGAGTATCGCGACGTGGAGATGACAGAGAGTGGATGCTCTTCCACCTCACCAGATCACACTGGTTCTGTCCTGGATAAGATTTCAAGAGCGATGTCTATCAAGACGAAAGCTAAGTTAAAACGGGAGTCGAGTACAGAGGCGGATGATTACTCGAGTTTAGGCCGGAGTCCCGACACTGGGGTTGATGATGTAATGGATCGTCCGATCATGGTGACGGTACGTACACAGACCTCACCGCACGATACGTTGGATGATATGGACACGGGGGAAGAGGTACGAAAGTACGACGTCAACTTACAGACGAGTGGGAGTGATGGTGCTGTATTCATGCGTACCCCTGCGCAGCGCCGATCCATGAACCTTGACCTCTTCAGCGGGCTTGACGAAGCGCTGTTAGGTACGACGGCGCCCCGACCGAAATCTATCCATGTCTCGTCGCACCTCGGCAGAGGGTCCGAAAGCTACGATGATGATTTTGCGGCTTTCACGACTCGGTTGAGCCTCGACAATGTCCTCTCAGAGTATGACCACATCCTGGCTAAGTACAACAACCGACCACTGACTCCGGATTTTGATCGTAACGATGATATGTGTAAATACGATGGTATGTACCCTGGACAGCGTATATCGAGTCCGCGTCATGGGATCACGCCAGTCACTGCCCTTAACAGTAACTGTAATAACACCCGGCAGAGACGGTTACAGCACAGGTACAGCATGGGTGATGAAATGAGAGCCGAACGCTTCAATAACCGTTACTCGACCGTCCTAACGGAAAACGGCGAGACGCGGAAACGGTTGTCAGCAGGTGCAGTCCTCGACCACCACACCCCCGGGCAGGAAAACGATGAGGAAGTCGTGGTTGTGAGATTACGACGCCCTAGACCACCTTCAGCACAGAAGAAACTCTACACCTCACCAGAAAGATTCTCCATCAACTCCCCGGAATTCCAAGCTTCATTCGCTGACCAGCAAAACGGCAACACCCCGCCCGAATCAGCCAGTGACCTTAGAACTTTAAAAATTGATGAGGGTCAACGGCCCGTATCGTCTGTCGATGCCGTGTATCATGTGACCCTGCCGACGAGACCGAACAGTCAACAGAGAGGCATATCGAAAAGTTTCTCTTTAGATTTCCAGTCTTCCATTCCCGATGCTATGACGAGAATAGGGGAGGGTCTGGGGAGTGGAGAGATCGGTAACACCGTGAACGAAGCGGAAGCTGGAAGATCAGCGATGATGCTTCATGAAGATGATGTGAGATTAGATAACCAGGATGTAGATGGAATGCAGGAGATAGATGATCCAGGCTGCTTTGCTTTTCAGACGTCTTCGCAGGACGCATCCAGTGGATCGCCTCTCATAGATCGCTACCCCATCATAATCAGTGATGAATTAGAGCTTTGATGCTTCATGAATATGTTAAACATCTTCACGGCAAATCATGGTGCTTGATTTCTGTATCTCTAAAGAGAACCAACATTCAAAATTAATTCAGTCCCACCTAAATACTGTATAAGCCGATACTTTGCGAGAGTTTATTTCACAAATTGTAACTGGTATGGTCCCAAAATCGAAAAACATGCAAACATGGGGGCAGAATGTGTGTGCAAACATGTAAATCCTGTAAACCCTGTGGATAGCCAAATTATTTATAAACAAAATAATGGCTCACGCAGTAGGCTGTTCTTAAAAGAGAACCAAATAGTATTGTCTTCAAAAATACTTTTATTTCAGACTCTAAGATGCCAAACTTAGATCATATTGTTAAATCTTTGCCTGGATGATGTCTTGTAGTAGGGGATTTCCCCACCTTGTGCTGGCCCAAGCTGCGCCCTGTTTCACCAAACTTGTTCTCAGTAACAGGTGCCAGAATTTTGTTACAAATTTGCTCTCAGCCAATCAAATGCAATGATTTTAGTAGCTTATAACAATCATTGCAACTTGTTATTGATAACAAGTTTTGTGAAACCAGGCCCTTTATTCTCTCCCCATGTAAGTTAATGTTACATAATCAAGAAGAATATTGGTCTATTTAAACAGCATTACTAATTGTGCTTAATCAAGAATCTTGCTCTTTTTTGTGGTGCAAAATGTTAATGTTTTCCTACTGTGTATGTATTATGAAGTCTGTATGTGTATGTTGTTGTTACATCTCAGTGTTAAATAGATGGATTTGGGGGTCGAAAATTAGCTATTCGCCCACGAATGTGTAAATAGAAATTGACTAAGTAATTATTGCCCTGCATACGATACTGTGCCATGCTTCATTTTGTAATAATTGAACAAATAATTCAGGTTAAAAGTGCACTGTCTTTGCCTCTTGTATATGTTTTGCCTTTGTAGGTTGATGATAGTATTTAAAGCCAGAATACCTTGCCTTTTTTTGTATTGTATCTCTCGCTGAATTACATGTAATGTATGTAGAGGATTGAGGCAATAGATTGAAACGCACGAAATGAAAAATAGATTGAAGCTAGATGATACATGCTTGAAATGAGCATCTCTTTACTGTCACTTAGCCCTTTTCCAATATAAAAGAAAGTTTTAGTAGCATCTCAAAAAAGATGGCTGCTGTATTTTAAGGGGATCATTAATAACCTTAAAGTGTATCAATCGCCTGAATGAAGTCATTTGCGTACAGCTAGAACGTATTAAATCAACCTCAAGTAATTTACCTGGCTTTCTGTGGGCTAACGGATACAGAGTTTGTAGAAAATAAAGAAATAACATCAAACTTATAGCACGGAAATGCGGTTCTGTGCAGGCCCTATTTAAAGCGAGGGCGTGCAGGTGTGTGGAGTATTCTACTCACAAGTCACTTTTATTAAAATTATATTTTAAGTTGCAAAATCCCTCAAACAGAAGTTGTATTTGTAGCTCATATTTCTGAACATTGCAACATATAACTACTATCAACAAAAACAAAATGTTTTTTAGAGATTGGTACACGTTGAGGTTAACCGAGTTGCCAATTTGCATACCTGAGATCACACATAACGGTTATACTGATTAGTTGTGTGTCGTTAGAGAACAAATAACTGATAAGGTACCTGCCAGAATAAAAACTTTTCCTTGCCCCATTTTTAACAAGAAATAGATACACAGAATGCAATATTTCACTTGCCCATTGATGTTATGTACTTGCACTGATTATTGAGTAGGACAGTGCTGTATAAAATAGAATAAATCTATACAAATTGATTTGAAAGTGATATTGAAGTATTTTATCCCTATGGGTCACGGCATGCTGAAGATAGAAATTATTATTTATAAAACTAACAGGAAATATCAAAAACTAAAATGGTTAGGGCCTAATTTTACTGTAGCTTGGGGTATTCTAAGGGCTTTTTTAAGACAAGATTCCGCATATGAATCCTGTTTAATAGTACATGTAAGTGAAAAACAAAACTCCTTTTCATTGGTGCGAATGGTGCATCTCTTTTTCGTGTCTTCATCATTATAAAAGCTATAGCTTTACTCCTTCTTTCCCATATAAATTGATCTTGCCCCCTTCCAGAGTGTTTAACTCTCATGCATATTCATGAGCCATGCAAATTATTACATTTAGGTTTAATCTGTGTAGGCCAGCAATATACCTTGCCAGAGAAAATTTAATTTTTTCCATCTTTCACATGCAATGTATCCCACCTATTAGATATTAATATTCATATATTCATGTCATCAATATTCATGTCATTTGTATTTTTTAATTCTCCTATTTATTCATAACTTAGTGGGTGGTTATTTATATTTGACAATGCCTGTATGCTACTATGATACTACAAGGATATTTGAACAAGATGTTTTTTTATAAGAATTGCACTGGTATTTATTCATGTAATGGTTATAATTACTCTTATTGAAATATAGATGAAGCACTTTATGTCATATTTATGTCAAAAATGTTACTTTAAGTAATATCAACAATTACATTCTTACATTGCAAGGTTTCCCAGTGGCAGATAGTTGACTTGTCATATGACCCATTGCTGTCAAATCTACATTTTGACTCCTCTTGTATTTTTTGTAAAGCTTTGCCCAACAACGTTTCAAAGATTATTGAAATCCTATAGACAGCCACTTACGTGCAATACTGCTTTGCAGCACTACATGAAGAAAATTGTGATAAAGAAGTTACATATTTAATGTATTGGAGGATATATTTTATATGAATATGCCTATATTAGTCCAGTTAATGTATTTGTAACTCAGTTTTCTGTGGTTTAGATGGCACTTTTTTTCTTTTTCTTTTTTTCTCCATTTTTTGAAAATTACATTGTGCATTAGAATAGGCCCAATAAATTTTGGTGATAGTATTTAAGTTTCAGAAAAAAAATCATTCTCAATGTTAAAGATATAAAATTCAGCTTAACTTGGGGATTACCATCCAAATATAACTACCAAGTTGTTTAACCGTTTCTGATATAGTTTTCATGGAATTTCTTTGAAATTACTACTCCAATAATCAAATAATTTGAATTAAATAGAAATATTTGTTGAAAATTCGAATTATTTTTTCCTGTAGGCCTGCTAAATAGTGTTGTTGATTTTGATTTGGTATTCAGCTCGGGCTGAAAACAAAAATATAAATTTACATTTTCTCGTACCGGTATACTTTTACTCTATTTATCTCTCACTCAGAACCCGTTTCTCATCTCATATTCTCGACACCAAGATGCGCCTTATTATTTGTTTCATGTAGTGGATGAACGTCAATTCTTTCATTGTTTTAGTCACTTTGTCTCTGTTTGTAATGACGGTGGCAATGGAGTGCCGGTATTAATTTCGACATTAAGGAACGGAGGGCAAATTCAAACCTTGAAATCCCTTTGCCAGGTTCTCGGGATGTTTTTTTTTCTTTTTCTCTTTTCTCTATTCATAGCTTCAAGTTTTAATGTGGGTTTGAATAGAATAGGCTATAACCGTTCTTGCACTGAAGCGACTGAAATATTGCCTGCATATTGCTTAGAAATTGCAATAGTCCTAAAGAATGTGAAGCTTACATAAAGATGTAGAAACCGTCTTCTTTAAAAGTGTACCAATCACCTTAAAAAATATTTGCTGTACAGGGAGAATGTATCAATTCTTTCTCAAGACTCGAGAAACCTCTTCCTAACATGTAGGTGGTAAAGAAACTGTTTGAACAATGAAACATTGTGTTTGTAGTTATGAAGACAAAATTCCACTTACTGAAGGGAACCCACCATCTCTTTATATTGAGCATGATTAATATCCTAATGGATCAAAGCCATACTGTACTAGAAGCACTACGGCAAAATCCCCTCTCAGGTCAGCTGTAGCAGTGTGGTCCCGTAATTCGCTGCTTCCCTAGCTGCGCTGTTTGTTCACGCATAGAGTCCTCTGTCTGTGAAGCGGCAAATTAGGTATCGTGTTTCGCACTGTTGGCAAGCCGACCATGCGATGGCGCTGTGCAGTAAACAGTACCAGGGCCATCTGTTTCACAGAGTTTGGCCAACTTGGTTTCACTGGGTCACAACATGGTGTCCTACTAGAACCGGGTTGGCCAAACTCTGTGTATAGATGGCTCTGAACAGTATGCTAGGGCAGAGGGTTCATCAGTTCGGTATCGCTTTAACAACAAAATAGTAATTACTATATGTCACGTTACAACTTTTATTCAAGGTCAGGTTATCATGAATGTGCTATTATATTATAATGTGACTGAAATTTTGATATACAGATGAGAAATTTATGAACTCTTGCTCTATTGACTGGGAAAAAATTGCTAGTGAAAAACAGCATTTATGTTGAAAGTATTTAAGATAAATGTTAGTAAGCTAAATTAAAGTGTAATAACCTGAATGTATTCATAGAAATTAAATGTAATTTAAGTGTCGAAAAAATGTAAAATTGCAAGCATTTGAATAGTAAGTTGTGGGAAACTTTCATAGATAGGGGTGATTGAGTGGCTATTTTCTGTTCCATAAGCTACAAATGTGCTTTGTTTAAAAGGAAGGTAGATATATTGTAGAAATTAATGCCACACATCAAATTATAGCGCTGGACACATTCCAAATTACTAAATGCATTGATAAAAATTGAATTAGAATCTTAATGCAAGGTGCTGCATTAAAAAATATGCCATATTCTAGGTTGTATTAGTGCCATTTTTTTTTAGTCTACCTGTAAATTTTTATACCATTTTCAAATATTTGAAATAATCAAATTAGGCATACTTTATTATGATACAACTCACTGTTTTCATGATTATGCAATATTTTGATGCTAATATCAGATTTGCTTTGGTGAAATTATGAAACTGATATCTGTGTATTGACATAAGTAGCAAAGAGTATTTTGTTGAAGAACTGAATGCGTCGTGTAAAATATGAGTAAAATGTTCATGTCATGTTAATGTGGCTGATTGGTGTTATGACATGTATGTAGATGCAAATATATGGACAGTGTAAATGATATGCAAATTTATGCAAAAATTATCCATGTTTACCTAATGAGGGAATAAATGATTTGAATTGTATATGTGGCCGAGCGTGAGAATAACTGTGATGTCTGTATAATACACAACTGCTAAATGAAGAAAAATATCTGATGTGTCATCTCTGTTTTTTTTACTGTCTGATTATCTGATTTAAACATACACGCGCACAACACACAGGCAGACCTGCCCACATATATACATTGTGCCAGAGTATGAGGTGAAGATGTACAGGCAAACCTGCTTTAGTGACCACCTGTCTACAAAGACCACATTTTTTTGTTTCCCTTGAAAATGGTTTCTCATTGAAACATGTACTAAAGGAACCTGTTCATAAGGACCACCTGCCTTATTAAGAGACCACTTTTCTTGTCTCCCTTGGGTGGTCTTTATAGACAGGTTTCACTAATAGCCGTGCTTCCTTTACTCTCTCTCTCTTTCACACAAACGAACACACACATACACACAACTGTCTCTCTCCGTCCATCTCCACGTCTCAATCTCTCTCTCTCTCTCTCTCACAGACACTATATACTATACACAAAATTCTAACCCACATCTCCCATTCACATCCCAACCATAAACATGTACACCCTACACACAAATACACCCACATGCACCTACACACACAAACAACCAAACATTACAAATCCCTTCGTTACTCTCCAGCCATTGCTTTTTCTAAATCCTTTCCTTTCATATTGCGGTTTTTATTTTGTTTCTTTAAAATATTGAGGGGTCAGTGACACAAAGACGTAACTCCATATTTTGCCAAAATGAGTATTTGATATCAAAATGTTCATCAAAATGTTCAGAAAAATGTGGGCTTTCCAGGAAACACAAAGAATTAACTCCATCCACACCCCATTAAAGTCAATGGCTAGTGAAATGTAGACTTAACTTCTTAAGGCCCAAGTGCTCAGTGACACATAAACCACTTTTTCTCAAAATGGCCAAAATGGAGTTACGTCTTTGTGTCACCGACCCCTCGTATTGTTTCTTTCAAATATGTCCTTTGAATGATACACTCATGAGAAGAAGGCTAATCAAATTCACTGGCAAGATTCTTGTCCTCAATAATCATATTAAAATATAACACTTTATATAAACTTCCACAATTTATTAAAAACAACTCATTGGATGTGCACATTTCAATCAACTTACACGGAGCTTATACACCAAGATCATTCATAACAGAAAACGGGGGAAAACAACTGAAACGAATTCAAATTGAGTTTAATACCTGAAGTAGGAAAAACATTTCCTCACTGGTAATACATTGAATGCTGCAGCAACGCAAAATTTTATAGTGAATATATATCTATACATGGAGTTATCAATACATATTTATCATCCTTCAAAGACACTTGTAAATCATCTTGTTTGGAGCCAGATGGCCAGTAGCTCGATGTAAAATGATAAGAGTGTAACACCTTTCTTGCACAAAACGGATGATTCACCCATATCTATACAAATTGACTGGAGCAATGGCAGGTTCAAGATTGTATTTCAAGCCCATGTTTCATACAGCTGCGCTTGAGGCCCTGACCTGTTGATATTGCCAAAGAACACATGTTCCATATGGCGCTTAAAGGGGCGGTAGCCTGACGAGACTATGCATCTTTCCCCGAGGCCCACTCGTGGAAAATCAGGTAGAGTATGACTACAAACAACGCGACCGCAGTAGGCCTACGTATTCACATGCGTGCAACATACGCAAAACCAAAGCGGACGGTGACTCAGTTAATGAAGTTCATTCGTTTACGTGCAGTTGTCCAAAAGAAGACGTAGATGGCATCAACCAGTATTTCCCATGCTACAGCCCCTTTATCCAAGCCACTTTGACTTGTGGATATCGCTGAAGACTAAACACCCTTATGTGGCTCTACAAAACTGCTGTGCCTGTAGCTTGGCTTTGTGAGAAGATCCAGTCTTAACCGCTTGTCTGCTTCTCACCAGTCTTAACCAGTCTTAACTAGTCTTAACCGCTTCTCACTTCCACCTGCTCTCCCTGCTCTTGGATGTCTGTTTCATTCTTCCGCATGATCTCACTATTCCGAGTCAAGAATCCTATGCATGTAAGCACAAACAAACATACAACTTAACATAATTTGTTAATCTTTCTTAAAGTGACTGGGTAACATTAGGGACTTTTAGATTTGCACAACGACAACGTGGATTGTTACGATCGGCGTCCTTTTAATGCACTGCCTTGAATGGACGTCACACTTATCAGTCCACGCAGATCTAAAAGTCCCTATTGCCTCTGATTCTGAAACAAAATCCTGGATTTAGCTCATGCTGCAATCATAATTGTAAACCTTTAGGTCAGTCAGGGACCCCATGACTTTTACAAGCCAATCGTCTGTTTGATTATTAAGATATTTATGATTGGAAATCGAAATTTCATTTTTTGTTTTCCTAATGGTTTTTATAACACTAAAGCCTATTGGGGAAAATGAGTATGGTAAAACCGGTCACTCAAAGATGTTTACTTTTTGAGGCACTTCATGATCATTTTTAAGCGCAATTTTGTTAGGGCTTATATCACAGGCACTGATTACACATAGGGCCATGCATCTCAGATTTAACATTGTTAAACGATGCCTTTAAAGTAAGCACTGGTCTGATTTTGGCATACTGGACAACTCATGCTAATATAAAACATCAAGTGCCTGCTTACAATGAAAAAGTGAGAGTACAACATATCCTTTTTATTTCATCCACTGTTCTGCAACAATGGATTTACAATCTTTCCATGATTTGGAATAAAAGGGCAAATGAAAAATTGGTTGATAAGAAGTACTTTTAAAAAACTAAAAAGACTACCCTACCTTACTTTCGCAACAATCCTGTGTTCTATCTTCATACAGGGGTGTAGTTCTCCACTATTTTTCAAATTTGTTTAATCTGGGTCCTCTTTCATAAACGTAATTATCAAAAACATGCTATAATGACTATCATTAGCTACTAAAATCATTGCATTTGATTGGCCAGGAGCAAGTATATCACTGAATTTTAGAACTTATCAATGATAAGAAGTTTTGTGAAACAGGGCCCTACTTCTATGCTTTTTTTCTTATTGCCCGTTTAAAGTCAACTTTTTATTAAGGTTAGATTACCCCTTTAAACGTGGGATTTAACTGCTCACTCACCTCAAGGTCAAAGGTCAAAAGCCCTCAACTTCCAGGACTATGGAAGAACTCTGAATATCCTATACCAAAGCTTATGGCCTCTGGTACCCTGTAAAATAGTTCAAAGTGTTTGATTAAAGCTTGATGATGTACACTTTGTACAGAGGAGTGGGGAGCACACAACCCACAAAGTGAATCTTGTTGATGTTCTTCTGTAGACCCATTACATGAGTGAAAAGCACTTTCTTTTGTCATTATATATTTCGAAAAATGCTTCTTCTCCAGTACGAGTCTTGTGCTAAAGGTCATAAACTCACTTTGTTGAAAATGGACAATTAGCCATGTACCTGATGTGTTTTAGACCTATTGAATAAGGAAAATGAGTGAAAAACAATTTGAAAATCTTCCAACTTATAATAATAATAATAATAGTTCGTCCTTATGTAGCGCATTTCAGGGCCGCAGGCTCTCTCAATGCGTTTTACAGATATATTATTACCCTGGTCATCGGATTCATGCTTACCGCCTTACTCGCACACAATGTATGCACATTCTCCACTCCCTAAGGAGCATTCCAGCCAGTTATAGGAGCCTTAAGGTTATAAACTCTCTTTGTAGAAGATGGCTATGTGGCAATGTAGGTGTACTTCTTTATACCACTGAATGAGTGAAAGGGAATTGATATTTCAGAATGTTCCTACTCATATAAGCCATAAGGTCATAACTCACTTTGTTGAAGTTGGACAATTAGCTATGTGGGTGCTCTTCTTTTGACCAGCAACATCTACGTCTCTGCTTTCTTCAAGGCCTCCGGTCGTATCTACCGTTCTAAAACTTTGCCTATGGAAGAAGACAAATTGATGAGATTAGATAACATATAAGGCAAGATCTATCCAGGCATGTGTTAGAGCAGCAATGGTACATGGTTCAGAAGCCTGGGGGGGTGTTTCACAAAGACTAAAATCGACTTTAAGTTGAACTTAACTATGGCAGCCCATTCATGCCACTGGTTGCTATCACCATTGATCTCTCAATTATGATCTTTAGATAATATTTTTTCTTCAATAATGAACTTGAAAAAAAAGCTCAATTCTGTAGATGTGTGACCATGATTTGTACATCGCTCGAGAGACCAATGCCACTAAATGGTCAGAGCAACCAGTGGTATGAAAGGCCTGCCATAGTTAAGTTCAACTTAAAGTCGATTTGAGTCCTTGTGAAACACTCCCCAGGAATGTGAAGACAGTACTAGGATAACATTCATGTGTTCATAATTTAAAAGAAAAAATACAACCTTTAAAGATCCAACAATCATCAAATTTATCACACTATAAGAACTTCTATTCATTTCTTTTAATCATGAGAATCTAATGGTCCACATATATATTTCAGTGAACCCAATTTGTTATCTTTCAATCTAGTCAAGTAAGTTTTAGCCAGTATGGGTTTGTTTAATTATATTATATCATCACCTATGAAACACAGAGAAAAGCAGCTACAGTTTACGTGTAATAATCAATGTTCCATATCTGTTTATACATGAACTTTCTTCAAAATTAAAATAGAAACTGTAGACTTTACTTCTGTTGTCAACAAACTTAGTAATGGTGTTACCTTCTGTCAAAAAGAAAGTTTGCAGGATAGCCATGGCAACTGGTCATGTGATCTAGCCTGCTCTGTGCATCCATGAACCGATGGTTGCAGTTTTCTTCAAGGCAGCAATACTATATGAAATGGAAATAGTGAAAATAAAATTTACTCAATAAACTATCGATGAAATTAATGCAAAATAATGTAAAGTCCATCTGGATTACTACAATCATTTGTTGTATAAATTTATGTACGTCTGCCCGTCTTATAAAGAGCTGATATTAATTAAAAACTCGTTTGCGATTGATATCGATCACAACAATGTACATAAACGATTGAGGACTACAAACTTGCTATTGATTAGAGGACTTGCAATTGACTTGGATCAATCAATTGCAACTCTTTATAAGACGGGACCCAGGAGCGATTTTTTTTTTTTTTTGGGGGGGGGGGGGTAACATTGTTGGGGCACCACAGAGGATTTGGTATGCATTTCAATTGGAAGTACATTGTAAGAACCATAAAAATGAAATATAAAAATTAAATTAAATATAAGCAATAGTATTAATAGCATGGGCAACGTTGACACTTTTGTAGAGCAAATTTGTTACACTTACTTGCTAGTGTTTTTTTACTCTGATTGTACATGACAGTAGGTTTTAGTATGTTTTTTGTTCTGTTCTTTTGTTCTTGTTCTGTTTTTCCTGTACAGGGTGTATGTGTGTATTTTAGGGTAGGCTTTTTATATAAGGAATCCCTCCCCTCTGCCTATAATCCCAAATGCTCTCATAAATTGCCAGTGTTCTTTGTTATCACTGTCTTGTTGTTTTTATCATTCCATTCTGTATTTGTATGTTTTAAATTATGTCATGAAGAGTATTGAACAAACTTTGAATTGAATTAAATTTGAATTGAATTTGAATTAATTATCATACCATAGGTTGCTGTTGTGAGAGCAGTGAGAAGAAGCTATCATGGTTCTCTGTGAGGTGAATTTCTAGAAGATGATTGGTTGAATAGAAGCGCTGACAGTAACGACACACGAAGCGATGGCACACCATGTAGTGAGCTTCAAAATCATTCATCCTCGCAAACGATTGGTTGCAGCCAGGCACATGGCATTCACAGCCACTACTGCTGGAAGAAAAGGAATGTTGTTAAAGGCATCGTTTAACAATGTTGAATCTGAGATGCATAGCCCTACATGTTATCAGTATCTGTGATATGGTGTAATATTGAAGCCCTAGAAAAATTGTGCTTCAAAATGATCATGAAGTGCCTCAAAAAGGAAAAATCTTTGATTGACCGGTTTTACCATACTCATTTTTCCCAATAGACTGTAGTGTAATACAAATTGTTAGGAAAACAAATTCTGAAATTTATAATTCTAATCATAGATATCTTGATAATAAGACAGGCGAGATTGGCTTGTGAAAGTCATGGGATTCAGTAAATGTTCATTGTCGACTAAATTATATGAAATCCTGATCATTAATACCGTTTGAAAATGGTTCAAAATATGGGTAACATTGCATCAGAAGTTCAGAATGCACATTAGAACCCAAAACTTGCAGGGCCCTTTAATGAGCCCTTGATTCACAGTACATAGGACTTCAAGCTTCATGGGCATCAGATCATACTCTACTCCTTCCAAGTTGTTAAATTATTTTATGTGCTCGAATTTTTGTTTGTGGACCACCCTGCTACGACAGAGCTTACCGGTAGACAAAAATAAAAAATAATAAAATGATTTTCATGAAGTATTGATTGTTTCAATAAAAATGATTTTGGTTGATGAAACATGCGGAGCAAGAAAAATAATCAATGTTACATGTAAGTGAATATCAAAAGTTGAAACAAACTTCAACATTTGGGTAGCAATATACCCTGGCCCTTTAGAACGATACTTGGTTGAAACACTTATCAAATAAAATCAGGCTTTGGGCTATACATCAAACAATGGCTAAAGGCAAGCTTGCACATTTTCTGAGATTTTTTTTTTCTTCTTTCTTTTCTTTCTTTCTTCATCACTCTCTTACCAAACAGTTTCTTGTTCATCCTCCTGACTGGTGATCCCTTTTATTGCATTGTCAGGCCCATATTGCACATTATGTGAATCAGCAGCTGGCTCAGAGATGTGACCCCTACCACTCAAGATGAACTGCTTGGCTTGATGAAAACCAATCCTCTGGTCCGGAGATCTCTCTCGTTTCTGCATCTGGAGCCGATTCCACTACACCATGCAGCTAGCCTAGAAGTAGAAGAATGACCACTCACCCTGTAAATATTTCTTTTAAAGTCAAAGATAAAATGAAATAAAACAAAAATCTAGAAACACTAAGGTGTTGTGGCTAGATACAGCCAGGTATACACGTCTACAATGAATGAGGTCTAAATAGGTCTAATAGGTCTAATAGTCTAAACTCATACCCGATCTAGCGCTAAAGTCTAAAGAGATTTTATTTCTCCAACCTAGACCATATTGCATTGTTTCTCGTCTTGATACTAGTAATGATAACACTAGGGTTCTAGATCTAGTCTAGTGTCTCTGAATCTGCATTTATACAGAGGAGTTTTAAAGTTCAGAAAATGTTTTATTACACACTAAGTATAGACCTAATGCTGTTATGTGTGGCTAAAAAATAAAACAGACATAGCCTAGACCTAGATGCCTGCTTTAATTTAAGCTTTGAACCGGGCACAACTGTAAGGGCTACGGTAATTCCAGCGAGCTCCGCCGGAGAGCTTCGGCGGCGGAGCTCCCTAGAGTTAGTGCTGAGCCTGAGACCGACACGTCCTTCTCTAGTCTAGGGCTCGGTCTGCGGGAAAATGACCACTAACAGTTTACCTAGAATCCTGATATATATATCACACATTCACACAAAGTTAATTCAAACTAATTAATTCAATTTGTTACTGATAACTGAAAATAATATTGCAAAAATATTGCAAGAAATAGTCAACCTTCGGCTTCGGCTTCGCAGCGACCCGATTCAAGTTGCCTTATCGATAATTGTCGCACGCCCTCTCGTGTTCATCGCATGCGTTCTTGATTTTTTGCCCTTTTTTCCCTTTTATTTATTTACCTTCAGTTTAAATCTTTTTTTGTCCTCTTCTTTTTTTTTAGTGGGGAGGGTGGTATGCTTGGTACGTAGTTAATTCTTTAGCAAGCAGATTTTTGTTCGTGAAATGGTGACTGTCCGCTCCACGATGAAAAATGAACCACCAGATTTTTTAATTGCCCACTCCCCCTCAATGTTTTTACCTCTGATACCCAATAAATCTTTATTCCCCCTTCCCATTCAGGGGGTAAACCCCGCAGGATTGGCACATGTAGATATCAATTCTGCCCTATTCAGCGTCAGATTGACCACATCCTCAAACTTGTGTCTGTTTGAAACAAAATGTTTAGATAAAGCCCCCTCTAATAATAATATATTGCTAGTTTTTCTACATGTGATACCACGTACGGTGCTTTACACTGGAAGGGGCAGTTTGAATAGCGCTGAAATTGGGCACGGTTTGACGTTTCATTAATTATTAGAGAAAGAAGACGATTCGTTGTAACATTCTCGACTCTTAATCCTTGTTTGAAGGCAGTTCCCCCCCCCCCCTCTCGCGCGAAGCGTGGAAGCTTTGACATTTCATTAAATTATTAGAGAAAGAAGACGATTCGTGACTCTTAATCCATGTTTGAATGCAATTTCCCCCACCCCCCCCCCCCCCCCCCCCCCCCCTCTCGCGCGAAGCGTGAAAGCTTTGACGTTTCATTAAATATCAGAGAAAGAAGACGATTCGTTGTATACCATTCTCGACTATTAATCCTGGTCGGAATTCAGTTTCCTCCCGCCCGCGCGAAGCGCGGAGGCTTTGACCTTTCATTAATTATTAAAGAAAGAAGATTTGTTGTACCATTCTCGACTCTTATTACTTGACTGAATTCAGCCCCCCTCCCCCGCGAAGTACGGAAGCTTTGACCTTCCATAGTTTAATGAAGCTATTAGAAAAAGAAGATGATTCGTTGTTCCATTCTCGACTCTTAATCCTTGTCTGAATTCAATTCCCCCTCCTGCGCTTTGCACGTAAGCTTAACGTTTCATTTAATTATTAGAGAAAGAAGATGATTCGTTGTTCCGTTCTCGACTCTTAATCCTTGTCTGAATTGAGTTTCCGCCCCCCCCCCCCCCCTCCACTCCCGCGCAAAGCGCGGAAGTTTTGACGTTTCATTAAATTATAAGAGAAAGGAGACGATTCTTTGTACCATTCTCGACTCTTAATCCTTGTCTGAATTCAGTTTCCCCCTGCCCGCGCGTAGCGCGTAAGCTTTGACGTTTCATTAAATTATTAGAGAAAGAAGACGATTCGTGACTCTTAATCCTTGTTTGAATGCAGTTTCCCCCGTGGAAGCGTGAAAGCTTTGACGTTTCATTAAATTATTAGAGAAAGAAGATGATTCATTTTACCATTCTTGACTCCCAATCCTTGTCTGAATTCAGTTGCCCCCCTCCCGAACGATGCGCGGAAGTTTTGACATTTCATTAAATTATTAGAGAAAGAAGACGATTCGTGGTACTGTTCTCGACTTGTCAGAATTTTCAAAAATGTTTCTTTGTCTGCTCCTTTTTCGTCCTATGTCCTCTTACTGCCCCTACCGCCCCTAGCTACGCGCCTGCTTTAAAGGGAAAATGAAACAATCATGATTGTGATAGCACACAATTAGGTAAGTAGAAATGAAAGGGAAAAAAGATCTTTTACACCAACCATGGATAAATCACGGCTGGGAGCGTCATAGTTTTGTGTTATCGGGCGAGGGCAGGGGCGTAGCGACCAAGCGAGATTTTGCAATGTTGAATGCTGAAATTATGCATTCTAGAAAATCCCTAAGCCCAATATGTGCGTTCTTTCCGCTATATTTCTTTCTAGCTATCTTTCTAAATTTCCTGGGGGACGTGTCCCCCTATCGGGCCAAGGATTGCCGCCCCTGTCCATGATTACTACCAACATGAGTTCAAATACAAGCACAAGCGATTTGGTATGAGCTGAATCCAAATGAAGGGCAAAATTAAGAGTTGTGAAGCGGCCCTACCGTAAGACATCCAAAATATTGTGCCCTTTTTCAAATTTCTCACTAAAGAGTGATGACCGCAGGGGCTGTTCTTAACGTTTAACTTTGAATCCGCGGCTCGAGATTTTAAGCGGCCGGTGTCATGTAGGACTTCTAAAAACAAGATTCTCATACAGATGGCCCCCACATTGAGCTCTGAACCCAACAATTTTGAAATTTGAACGTGGGCCCTCAACATATACAAACCCTAAAGAATTATAATCATGACCGCCTATGAACAAAATAGTTTGGGGTCCTGTATAATTATGTGCCAGGCTCCACACTAGCTTTTTTTTCATAAGGAGTCTATACATTTTTGGGGGTTTGTACATACGGCACTTGTTTTTATTTTTAGAGGGGGGGGGGGTCATCTTTAACCTATTCCTAATTTATACTACACATCTGTTTTGTAGTTAACCTTGAATAAATTGATACAACTTTTTCAACCAGATAATGCAAAACATATGTTATTTACCTCTTATTAGTCTAATATATTTATGTGGTCCCAAGAGGTTTCGACTTGTGCAAGGTTACCTGTACATTTAAACGTGTTAAATTGTAAGACTTACGGTCCGGAATAAGAGTCAGTGACGAAGCTCCGAGGGGAGGGGGGGGGGGGGGGGAGGTCAAAAGGGCACATGCATTTTCTGAATTGTATTGTAAGAAAGAGAGAGAGAGAGAGAGAGAGAGAGAGAGAGAGAAAGAGAAAGATAGAGAGAAATAGAGTGAGAGAGAAAGAATGAGAGATCATGGTCAAGGATTTAAATTCAATTTTCTTTAAAATGGTAAACCTGGTGTTAATGAAACTATCTGATATTGTCATTGCTACGTAGTGCCACGTACAAAAATTAACCACGACTATGATGTTTATTGCTGTGAAAAAAACTATTGACTTTTCACCCAGTAAATTATTATCATGTTTTCGATCTTGTTATTGAAAAAGTCAGAATTTTCTTTTGTCCTCGAACCACTACTGGGTGCAAACAGAAATTTCTAAACATCAATTGAAACTTATTCCAGGAAGCCAAACAGTAATTAAAGCTGTTGTTTATTCAAATAGCCGCCTACAATCACCAGCAGCAATATGGTACCTGTGTATAAAGCGCGTACACCCAGGGAATTGAAAATAATAGAAAAGGAAATACATAAGGAGAGTGGAGAGGACCCCCCCCCCCCCCCCCCACTCAGTGTTATTTAGGGTACGCATATGCGTGTTCCCTCCTTTTGAAAACACCCCCTAAGTCCGGTGTGTAAAGTCAATTTTGTGTATGTACGAGCCGGACTTTGGTGCGTGAAAAGTACCCCTTTACCGGACATTTTGGTAACACGCATGCGGTGATTTCGACCCCTGAGTGGGGGGGGGGGGGGGGGGCGGGGGAGAGGATAATATGAAGCAGGAAAAACAGGGAAATCCATAAAGAAAGAGAAGAGGATAGATCAAAGGAAAAACAAAGAAATACACGACGACAGAAAAGAGGATATATTAGCTAGCTGCATGGCTGGCTCTCCAATCAAATAGGGCTTCTACAATCTTAATAAGGGGCGGCGATTTCTTTTTATGACCAAGGGGGGGGGGGGACGGACAAAATGCGAGGGACGAGGGAACATAGTGAGCAAGAGGGGCCAGTGGCGTAATGAGCAGAAACGTTTGGGTGTGTGTGTGTGTGGGGGGGGGGGTCAAGTATTTACGATCAGGTAGAGCAAAGCGAGAGAAGCAAAAAGCTTTAATGGCGTGGGGTCCAGGGGCAAAGCCCCGGCGGGAGTCATGGGCGGAGCCCCATGAAGCTCAGGAGTTCTTTAGGCATTTAATTACGGTCAGATGAGCATTTTGATAAGGTTTATTTGTGATACTGGCAGGTCAATAATTTGGAGTGAGGCCTAGGGGGCGGCGCCCCCAGAATCTCAGGGTTTTAAGGCATGAAATTACGATCAGACGGATGAGCATCTAGGGGCCGCCTTAGGGCCCTCGGAAGGATCCAGGGGGTAGAGCCCCGGGATTCCAGGGGAATATAATGCCATTTTAGCAGCATTTGTAAATTGCTTGTATCAAATTAGAAATAAACCATGTTTGATTTTATTGGGGGGGGGGGTACTGGTCCCCCCCCCCCTCATCAGTACGCCAGTGAGCGGGGAGGAGGTGACGGAAGTGACTACCCCCATAGAGCTATATAATAAGTCTTATTATATAGCTCTATGCTACCCCCTCACAGGTTTGTTGTATTACAAAATCACATTCTTTAGGAAAACTATAGTATATACTACTAGCCCATGGACTGTGGCCTAAA